TTTTCTAATCATTTGGTATTCATTGTCATTTAATAAAAGTAAAAAAAAGGATTTTACTTGTTACAACATGGAGAGCTATCATGGCATTTAGAATTACAAAGTAATCCTGATGACTTGCAAGCGCACTTCTTCGTTAGGCATTTTTTAAAGCAGTTGCACTTCTTGAAACCTTGTCCTCCGGTCAAAGACAATTTTGCGACAACTTCTCGAAGACTCACTTCTTTACCTATAACAACTTCTATCTTGATAAAGTCTTCAGGGCATGAAGTAAATTGACTTTGTGTATAAAGCTGCTTTAGCACTCCAATTTTGGTACCTAGTTGGTAAAACTCGTTGTCCTTTACATCTATTACAACTGCAATAATGCTTTTCGGGTCGGTTTTAATTTTGTCAATTTCAGGCACTTTTAGTCTTCCATTTTGGCCAATTTTCATATTTCGATATTTATCAACAGACATGGCTTTCATTTTTTCAGCTTGTTTCTCCAAACTCAATTTTGCATTGTTTCTTATATTCACTACAGATTCTATTTTTTTCGGTATTAGCTCTATAGTTACAAGAATTCCTGAGACTTAATCGTGTTTTCTGTCTCTGAATCGGTATCACTCTGAATCGTTACATTGGAATCATCGGTTATTTGCTTCGCCTTCATCATCTCAGTAATAATCATTTCATCTTCTTGTGTTTTATCGTTGACAGTGCTATTGTCTATATTCCCTTCTGACTCATTTTCAACAATGCTTTCTTCCTTGTCCTGTTCGATTTCATTTTCGATGTCATTATTTTGTTCCGTATTGTCATGCAAATGAAACAACTTCTCTAAATCTTCTTCAGATCTTATAACTTTAACCATATCACCAGGGATTGCTGAAGCTGCAAGGCCCATTTTTATTGGACAACCAAATATTGCTTCGTAGGGAAAACGTTTGATTCCCTCATGATATGCTCTATTTTTCATCGCCTGGATGAATCTTTAACCTTCTGACCACTTTGATAACTGATTGGTTTCAGTCCACATAAACATATTTTCTATGTCTTGATTAGCACGCTCCACTGATCCTTGACTTTGGCTATGTCTTGCCTTTCCATGTACGATTTTTACATCCGCCCACATGGAGCATAAACTCTCAATAACTTGGTTAGAGAATTCTCGACCATTATCGGAATGAAGGATGCTCGGCGCTCCAAAAGTGGTGAAAATATCCAAAAGATGGTATGCAACTTCTACGGCGCGTTTAGTTTGAAGCGCATGAAGGATCACAAATTTGGTAAGATGGTTTTGGTAAACTAAAATAAATTTATAATTTCCATCTGGGGTAGTTTGTAGATCTATTAGATCAACCTGACAGCGTGAGCTCATTTCACTATGAAGTATAAGTCTGATGACAATGCCCTTTTTCAAAGTCTTCTGTTTCTTTTGGCAACGTTGACATAGCTTCAAATATGTCATAGTAGCCTCAACTGTTACATTCTTATACTTGCGGTTACATTCCTTAAGCATCCGTGTCCTTCCACTGTGGCAAACAGCAACACGCGTTTTTTCGAGAATGTTGAATAAGTCCTCGTAACAAATGTAATACCTTATTTCTCCATCCTCCTTCATAGGCGCAATTAGTTTTTTTTTGCCGCCTATAGTCAAAATGTCGTAACGCTTTATATGCCTGTAATGAACAGCTTGTTTCTTTTTCATGTTCTTTGCAGCTTTTACTTACTCCAAACACTTTACGTATTTATCCCTATTGAGATAAAAGTTATTATCTTTCTTGCTTGCAACGAACTCGTCCATTATTTCATAAAATCTCCGTTTCACACTCATCTTGATTCATAAATAACTTTTAGACAAAGAAATCTCAAACAAGATTAGAATTAACGTATGCGTTTTAACATGTCAAACGATGGAATGCAGCGAGCGAAGGCAGCAGCGCGGTGCGGTACGGGATCAAGGACTATTTTTTTAACATTTACCATGTCTCTGAGATAAAACCTAAGATATACCGAGTAAATGCTGGTAAAAGTTCGAAATTAACGATGATCGAAGAACATTTCGGACTTTTGCCACAATGATTTGGTAAATCTTAGGTTTTACTGGAAAATCTTAGGATTTACCATAGTTCGAGCATTTACAGTAACATATATATAACTTGTTTTTCAAAGTTGCTAATTTCAAATAGCCTTTTTCCTCTGTTTTTGAGTCAAGAGATAGTATAAATACTACGTATAAGAGACTTGTTCGATACCTCGCCGAGAACTTCTTTTGCAAGAACCTCTTATACAAGAAAATCATCTTCAGAAAGTAAGTATTTTTATTTAAAAGTTTGTCTTTGACAAAAAGTTTGACTTAGAAATAACTAGATAAAAGTAAATCTTCGAAAAATTCACAAGTTCAACATCAAAATATATAAGAATCGATTTAAGGAGGTAGTAAAATTTGATGCAATGAACAACCATTTAGACAACTATGTAAATGTTTAAAATGTCTTTTAGAGATTTAGTAAAGTTCATTGACTTATTATTCTAATATATACATAACTTTTT